AATGTCTCTGCTGTGCACAGGGAGAGACTGCACCCATCGGGTCAGCACAGTTCGGTGGTTTATCTCAGTATCATGCCAAAAAGTGATAGAGACAGGCTTCTTATTTTCTGGGAAATCATGGGGAAAAACAAGAAACCAGGCATCCACACAGAGCTGTGATGAGTCAGAGCTGCTCAGATAACTCTGCCTGCATTCACCAAAATCCACTTTAGAAACAGCTCGTGTGACTTTGATATCTGAAACAAATCTCTCTGGGAGAACAACAAAATAACGTTAAGATGAAACCCCAACAGGGATACTATAATACTGTATTAGCTCCTCCTTTTCTATAGAGAGAACATTGGGTTTTTTAAGGGAATTGAGCGAAGAGAACGATGATCTTCCGGGACATCGTGACTGGGAAGTTGTCCTCCTCCCGCTGCATTTCTTTTTTCCTCACCTACTGCATCATTAGTGCCTTAGCTCAGCTCCAAATAGGTGACTCCTTTCCTTTGTTCCTGCTCTATTACGTAGAAAGGAGGAAGCTCTCTTGCATCGCAGGATGCCTAAAACCAGGAACACCAAGAATTCAGTTTCCTTAGGTCATTTTCCAAGCTGGTTGGCTGAACACCCAGGCAACAGCTGGCAAAAGGGTGCTGAACTGCAGGCGGTGAATTAACCCAAGGAAGGAAGGCAATTTTGTTTATTTATAGCTATCCCTCTTCCTAATGAGATTTGAATCAGTGTCCATCCCAGTCTGATGCAGTTGGATTCTGTTTAAAAGCGGTAGAGAGACCTCCCTCAGGGCTCACCGGCAGGCTGTAGGATTTCTAGCATCACTTTTGTGCTAAGAGTGTTTCAAATAGCAGAAACCAGATCTCAGTTTCTTCTGAGACACTGCAGTGAATTTAGGCTCTTCTCTCAGCTTTCACCTTCATGCGTTTGAGCCTTGAATCAGAAACCTTTCAGCCCAAATGATTTTTTTATCCCATTTGATCCAGCCAATTTTATTCTCCTCCATTTGACAAATATTGCAATTTTCTGCCCTGAACACAGTCCACAGCTCGGTCCCAGCTAGGGGGAAGGTGGGTGAGGTTTTGTAGAGCAGGACAGAGATTCCTTGTGTATAGGTTTGCCACGCAGCTGGGGAGGCAGGTGTTTTGGGGGGAAGGGGAGCTTAAATTCCTTGAGGTCCCTGAATTTCAGACCTAACATCTGCTTTGAGTATAACCTAAATCCCTGGCATATTGCCCACCCTGTGAAGTGTATCTGAATTCTCAGCGTGAGCCCAGCACATCCCTCCCAAGCTAGAGCTCTTTGCAGAGCACAGTGGCGCTTGTAACAGCAGCAGGCTTTGTGGGGGGTGTTCAGGGCTGTGTTCTGCTGCCTCTGGCAGGGAGAGGTGGTTGGCACCGAAATAAACTGGTTGCCGTTACCCAAAACAAACAAACAAGAAGAGATTGTAGAGGTTACAAGCTTCTGGCTGCCTGTGTTTAATGGGAATCGAATCAAGCAATGGGATTTCTGCCTCCCTCAGAAGATCCTAGCGCTTTGGCATACTCATCTCTGCTCGTGATGGAGATTTCAGAGGTCTTTGTGCCAGCAGATGATCTTGGCACCTTTCTGTAGGCAGGACTGAAGTGCCCAGGTGTCCTTGGAGTGATGCATTTTGATCGTGCTGTTATGGGATGGACATTTGTTGCAACATGCTGTGAATCCAGAAGTGGCACCATTTCACACAGGGCCACTAAAATCCAGGAGGGAACAGAGCGCTTAGCAAAACCCCGTGGAAGCATCGCGGAGAGGGCTCATCCCAAAGAGCGGCACAGGCACCTCTGAAGTTGTCAGCGCCCTGAAGCGTGGCGTGGAGCCGCATCTGCCGGGGGCGTGGCGGATGGAGGGTGCACTGCTGCACGCTGAGAAGGGACAGGGAGCGGGAGCTGCGTGAAAACGGGCCTGCGGCTTTGTTCCCCTGCACTGCGAGTGCCGGCGGGTGGCTTCGCTTCCAGGGAGACCCTGAGTGCCAGGATTTGGGCCTTGTGGGTGCTCAGAAGAGAGACCGTGAATGCGTCAGTCCATGAGACGGGAAGCGCTGGGTGATAAGCTGGGAGGGGGGTGTGGGGGAAGGACTGGTTGGGTTTTTTAACCTTAAGGTAGCACGTAGATGTCAAAATTTCACTGCAGGACAGGTAAAGCGTAGTGGTAACGCTCCAAGGTAAAATGTAGGCTGTAACGGTTGTTACTCAACTTGCAAAGTTCACCACGTCTCCATTGGCATTTTCACGTGTTAGCTCATGTGAGCTTAAAAATTACACCTTTTTGCCCAGAAAAGGGAAGATCTAACAGCAATCGCTCTGGTCCAGGATGTGCCTGAGGTGACAGAGGAGACGTTGGGCTCTCACAAGCGCTAGGGCAGACGAGAGCAGAGTGCCAAGTGAGAAGAGAAGATTTTTCCCCTTCATAATGAAATGGGAAATGCTCATTTTCTGGGGTGCTAGACCCATCCTTCTTTTCCCCTCAAAAGGGAAATAAAAAACCAAATCACTTCCTTACTGCACAGTAACGTGAGATTCCTGCCGACGTAATGGGATAAGGGCAAGAAAGCTGCCTGGATGGAGGCAAAAGCAGCGGTCCCCACTGGAGCAGCTGGTACCACCGGGAGGAGCAGCAGCTCAGGAGCCTCTGCCTAACTCCAAGGCCTTTTCTTCCCCCTTTTTCACCCTGGATTGTGTTGTGGCATGTCAGCAGCTGGCCAGTTTTGCTGCTCAGCTGAAAGTGGGGCTTCAGCTTGATGGCAGAGCCATGACCACAGGTGTTGCAGCTATTCATACCCTGCCTTTTCAGCTGGGCTTGGGGGAGATAGTGATTCAGGGACACTTTAGTCCTTTGCTTGTTTGCTGAATTTTTTCAGAAAAAAGCAACAGCCTCTGGAGGAAAACAGCAGGTATCGCTTGTATTTACCACCTGCTCTCAAAGTGCTCCCCAAGGTAAAGCACAGGAGGTAAATGATAAGGGATGGGGAGCAGAGTGCCTAAGGTCTTGCCCAAAATACTAGCTACAAGGTGGAGCAGAGAACGCATGTGTGGCTGAGGCCTGAGCATTGCAGCCGTGGGTGCACCTTGCAAGTGATGCTCACAAGCCCTTGTGAGACTTTTGTTTCTTTCTTTTTTTAGGAATACACAACAATAAATGTTTTCTAGCTTATTTCAGCTAAAAGGTCAATAGAGAAGGTCATACTCTTTTTCCTGAGCTTTCGCAAAGGATGGTGCTGGGTTTCCAGAAGACACCTACCACATTGCAGAATGTCTTTAGTCTTAGTTGTATCCCTTCATGTCAGCCATGAAGGATTTCAGGCCCAGGTGCTCTGGCTGCGTTTTCCAGCAGGGTCTGGTCCCGCTGGACTCTGGGTTTCAGGTAACTCCCATGTGGCTTGTCTCATACCAGATTAGTCGTGACTACCATGCAACAGCTGTTGTATTCCTGCCGAAATCTGGTGGCTGGCCACAGCCCACGGAAAATGCTGGAGAAGTCTAAGAAAGGCTCAAAAGCCACTTCATCCAGGCGGCCCGGCTTCCCAGCCCTGCTGTGACCAGCGCCCTTCAGGACTGCTTGCATGTCCCTGCTCCCAGCATTTCTTGTTCTCCACGTGCAGCTCTCTCCCAGGAGAGCAATGCTGTGCCGTACATAGGTTCATAATCATGTCTCATTGCCAGTGTCTGCTATGGCAGCCCTCAGAAAACCCTGGTGTTGAGAGGATGGTGGGGTACATGTGGCGCTGCCAAGCTGGCAGCCCACCGGGCTCCGGTTCGTGTCCCCAGCTGCTCTCACGTCAGCATGTGCGTGTGGGGCCAGCGGGTGCCTGAGCTCATGGATCTCCGGTGACTCTATCCACATCTCTCCTAAACCATCATTAAAACATGCAAACCCCACAGCCTGCAGTGTTTCCTTGGGACAGCGGGCCCCTGGGGTGTCAGGTCCCCCAGGAAACCTTCCTGTGGGTGCCTGTGGTGAGTGTTGCCCCCCTTGCCATGTGGGACTCCAGGAGCCAGCCCAGCCCCGCAGCAGAGGCTTCCTCACCTCGGGGTGACAGATGCGAGACGGCAGCATGGCATGAGGGGCGCTGGCCTCGCATCCCAGGGCTGTCCCAGCACCGGTGGGAGCTGGGGAGCAGGGGGGGGTGTTTGGGGGTCCAGGGGTGTGGAGGCGGCAGGGAGTGATGTGGGGTGGGGTGGGTGTCAAAGCTTCCCCACCGCTGCTGCAGGGGCCCTGGGGGACGTGGGTGCAGATGTCTGGGGACACGGTGCTGGCAGTACCTGCCGGGGGGAGCATAGCTCTGGGGGACACAGCTGGGGGTGGCCGTGGGGCGCAGGGTGAGGGGCTGGGACGGGGGGACACGGCTGGGGTGGCC